TTACGGAATTTTAAATTTTTATTTATCTTATGAATTTTTAAATTTAAGTATTGAATATGGAAAGTTGAGATGTTAAAGTTTGACTTTGGACAACCTCCAATTTTGACTCCCTTTTTTAACACTTTTTCTTTTTATTTATTTATTTTTCTTATTATTAATAATATTATATGTTAGGTATGGACTTTTTTTACCAACTCTTTTTTTCTCCCATGTTTTATATTCATGCTTCATGATTTTTAATTTTTTTTTTTAAATAATTCAATTTATTATTAACGGGAAAGAAAACAAAAACAAAGAATAAAAAATAATGGTCACGCTCCTCGATCCTACTTGAATAGTTGGTACATTAAAAAAATTTAAAACAATTCAAAATATGTTCAATAAACGATGACGTTACAAATTAGAGATTAAGCTCGACGAAATTGTAGGGAGTGAATTTGGGTCGAAAACATATACGGGGAACAAGAACGACCACTTAGTTTGGCACCCATCTTTATTCTCATAATTTCAATTATTCTTTATTCTCTCTTTACCAATATATTATTTATTTATTTATATATATAAATTTAACAAAAATTAAATAAGAAAAAGTTTGATATGAGAACCCACATGCAGGTTTTAAAGCCAAATTATGGACTACCACTTGGTTTGGCACCATCCCAATGGGATTATTTTTATGTTATTTTAAATTTTTTATTTAAATTATTTAATTTTTGTTGCCACTTCTAAACTTTTAATTAATTCAAAATTTAGTTTAGAAATAAAATTCTTTTATTTTAATTACTTTCTAATTTGTGGAATAAAGTATAATTAAGTTAAGAGTAAAATTACAAATTAAATTAACGCCCCGAGTTGATACCCGTCCTACGCTATGTGAGCTTTAATGTATGTCCTAAAGTTTTAGGAACAATCTTCAAGTATCAATTAATAGTCCAAAATCCCTCTTCAGAATCGGTTTACGAAATCGCGGTTGATCTATGACCCATTTCTACATGTCGTGGAAGTATTTACTCAAACATCTGCCTTTGTAGTCCCAGATCTCTCTTTGAGACCAGTTTACGGAATCGTGGCATCAACCTTGATCCGTTTCTATATACAACAGAAATACTAACTTTGAAATAACTATTTGTGTAGTCCAAAATCTCTCTTCAAGATCCGTTTACGGAATCGAGCATCATCCCTGACTCGTTTCTACACACAATAGAAGAGCTAGTTACCCATGTGATCCCAAGTCCCTCTTCGGCACCATTTTACGAAATCGCGACATTAACCATCATTCGTCCCCACACACAATAGTAACTCAAATTATCTTAGAGGTTTTTTGGTTACATTGTTCTTACTACCCATAAGTATTTTAGGCTTTCTAAGTTATCATTTTTGTGGACGTTTACCAGGTTCTTTGTGTGTCTAGGCAGTCTAATCTTGTCTCTTGTTTCTAGGATATTAGGGACTAACACCTCGGGACTAATCCAACCTCTGAGTGCCCTCATATCTATACCTCTAATCGCCGCTCACAATTCTATGGAGCTCGGTCTATTGGCAACATACTAATCTAGATCAACTCGAAAGCTACTCTAGCTTTAGCGCCCTATACTTAACTTGGTTCATCCATGCTCTATTAAGGAGATATTTCTACCGATCACCTAAAGCACAGAGAACATATTCTAATTGTTCATGCAACTTATTGGGAGATATTGCTATCATTCACCATAAGCACAAATGTCATAATCTAAACATTCAAGCATTCTCAAAGGGAAGATAAATCCATCAACAGCCCGGAGCACAAATCACAATATCCCATCCTCCTATCATACATAACGAAAAGCATTAAAGTAGGAATGTAGCTTAAATTCTCATCCCATGGACATTTCAATACTTATTCATAACATATATAGTATATTCATCCAAATAGCCTTTCTAGAGCCATTATTATACATATTCTAGCCATCTAAGGTATGATATGTTAGCACGTCCTAGCGATACTTACAAGTATTACTTGTTTAAAGTTTGTGTGGCTACTTACCAGAATGTAGCGTATCTCTTCGAGCTTGCTTTTTCGCTTGTTTTTGGCTCCAACCCTAAAAATTCACGGGGAGTATACTTCTATCAATTTCTTCATCAGTCTTTTCTCGACATTACAAAATTTCACTCATAAAAGGAAGGAACGTCGTCGGAAGAGATCATTTCGGTAAGTAAAATATGATATGTTTATGTAATTTGAATTATATGATGTGATTGACATGTAAAATGACGAACTAGTATGAAATACAACTTCGGCGTATGTATGAAAGATATGATAAATGATATGTAAAATTATATGAAAAACGATATGATATATACAGAATGCTAGCTGAGTTGTATTAAATGATAATAAAAATGGAAAAATGTTAAAGACCTCATGCATCATTGTGTGCTCATGCATTGGGGGATACCCCTTACCCTTCACATAGTACGAACGCGTACGTTACGAGATAGGTAAACGATCATTATGGCTATCAGAATGCTACGATGACCAAGTTGGAGAACGATCATTATGTTTAACCTAATGTAGCCATGATGGTTACTAGTTCTAACGGGTGTCCGGCCTAACGAGCTTCCAGAGTATGCTTGTCTGACAAGGAAAGTGGTCCAACGGTGTGCGAACTGACTGGTGAGTACATACTCGCACGTATGAGCTGTGTGTAGAGTATATGGTACACATCCAAGTTACCCGTTAGGATAGTACCGTAGGAAAATAGATTATTATGATAGGTCCCGTCGTTGCATTTACATGTTCTTGCATTTAATCTCCAATAGTGGGGTCACTTACTGAGTATTTCTTTAAATACTCAAGCCACGTGCTACTTCTATTTCAAGTTAAGGCAAGACATTCATGTACGACTGACGACGACATCGCAACTCGAGACCATGACACATGCATAGGGTAGTCGTATTTATTTTCTTAAATTTAGGCTAGAATAGGATGTTTTTAATTTAAACGTTTATTTATTTTATTTAATTTTTTGTTGTGTCGTTTTTAAATGTGTTTTCAAAACACGTAAGTCCATAGCTGTGTTTTAAGATAAAAGCGACGTTTTATAAAAGTTTAAATGAAGTATTTCCTCATTCATTATTCATGATATATATACAATGACGACCTTAAATTAAGTAAAAATTTGGGGTCATTACCGTTTAAGTTTAATTCTAGAATTGCTAAGTTATGTTGGCTCCATGAATCAACTCTGTTTTATGAATAAATGGAATATCATAGGTAAACTTCAATTCTGGTTCAGCTGAATCTAGGAATGATCAACTAAGATATGCTTAAGAACACCAAGTTGAACTTGAAAAACGGTAAGTGAACTTATTGTTGAACTACCTAGCGGTTAGATTGGATGCAATTGTTTAATGCATGAATATAACATACCTTGTGGCCGTGTATATGTATTTTTATTTATGTTATGCTATCTAAGTGAACTTCTTATGTTTGATTATGATTGCTATGTTAATTGACCATGTTTATGCCTTGTGAGACACCATGATGATGAGCGTAAATGAAATACTATGACTATGTACATGTTTTGTAAGGAATTTGTGTCATGATAAGTGTGGAAGTATTACGTGCACAATCTCATAGAACCATAATTTTAATGTGGGACCTATGACATGTTATATGTTATACGACCATGGATTACATCTCCAGCATGGTATGTACAAACGCGAGCTAACCTATAGTATTGATGTGTCAATGCGAATGCTACATGATGTATTGATGATTCAGAATATGCTTAGATTTAACATGATTTGTACTATGATTGTGGTGTATAATTTCATGAAAAAAGGTTAAAAAGACTTTCCTAAGGAAGATTAAATGTTTGAGTCATATGCCACGAAGCATAGTTAAACGATGTCGTGTATAGAATGTAACCACGTGTACTCGTGAGTAAGTTGCTTCAAATGAAAATGTATATCAAAGAAGGATGATCAACAATAATATCTTATAAATCGCTATAGATATTGAGTGTGGTAATGTCGAAGGAAAATTTTGTGACTAAAAAAACTCAAATTAAAAAACCCAGACTAAACAATTCTTCACCCGAACATAAATTTCTTTTAACTCAAATACTCTAAAAATATAAAATTATGAATTTAAAAAATAAAAAAGGGAAGGACAGTATAAGTCATCCAAATTAAAAAAAATAAATTATAATTTATAATTTATAGAATAAAACTTTTCCTTTTGGTTTACTAAATTTAAAGAATCTAACTTGCGTAGCACTATAAATGGAAAATAAATAAATAAAATAAAATAAAGTTAATTCTGACTTTTCTGATTTATTCTCCACCGTCAGATGATGCATCCGACGACTCAAATCAGATGATGCGAATCCTTAAAGGTGGGGTCCTGCAACCCATTCCCATGAGGTAAGCCCCAAGGTTCTCTCGCATTAAATCCCATTCCTACCCTCGATCTCCACGTGTACTCCCATTCGTGCAATCACAGCCGTCCATTGAATGAAAAAGATCTCTAATTCATATCCAACGTCTATGATCAGCGAATCCTCAGGGTCTTACGGGATTCATTCTATACCCAAACTTTTCCCAATATCATATTATTTTATTCCGTTCTACCCTACTTTTAGAATTTCAAATTTAAAATATACAAATATATATATATATATATATATATATATATATATATATATATATATATATATATTCAAACTTAAACCTTACGCTTGATTCTCATAATGTCATAAAACAATAAAATTGAAATTAAAAATTTAAGGAATTTATGCTTATGGTGGTTGGATGATTAGATGATGAAAGTCTCCGTTAACTAATTTAAGCTAATTTGAGGGATGATCATGAGTTTATAATTAAAAAATACTCTTTCCAATTTCCACCCGAAAACCTAAAGCAAAGTCAGGAGACTCAGAATGGACAATATCATATATTGTGGAGACTGATACTGACATGATAGGTAAGCTTTGACTAATGTGTGCCTTTAAAGCATTGTTCCTCTGCTGTCATCCATCTCCTTGCTTCTTCTTCTTCTTCACTTTACTCTGTTATTCACCATGGTCAAGCAAAACAATCTCTTCATCACTGTTCCCACTCACTTCCGTTGCCCAATTTCTCTCGACCTCATGAAATCTCCCGTCAGTTTGGCCACCGGCGTCACCTACGACCGCTCCAGCATCCAGCGCTGGCTCGACTCCGGCAACAATACCTGTCCGGCTACTATGCAGCTCCTTCTCTCCAAGGATTTCGTTCCCAATTGCAATCTCAAGCGCCTTATTCAGATTTGGTCCCACACTCTCCACTTCCAATTCCCTCTCCATGATCATCATTTGGGGACGAATGCAACTCCGATTCGAAACCACTCTCACCCATCTTGCTCTGTTTCTGTTTCTCTATCGAACCTACTCTGTTTTGCTCCACCATTGGAGCAGAACGTCGAGTTTCTCCGCACGATTCAAGGCCTTGTACCCGTGCTTCTCGATGTTCTTGGAGGGGAGGGTAGTTGTGGTGATATTGAATGTTTTGAATTGGCGGTTAAGGTTTTGGATTTGGTGAGATGCGAAATTGAGGATCGAGAGGAGTTTATGAACTCGATGCTGAAAAGTAATCGTGATTGTCTGAGATCTCTGGCTCTCGTTCTGCAGCGAGGGAGTACGGAATCGCGAATTGGAACGGCGAGGATTCTAGAGTGCGTCGCCATTAATGCCGAATCGAAGACCCTAATCGCCGAGAACGAAGGGATTCTATGCGAACTGATAGCACTAATCGGAGTAGACAAAGATATGAAGCTAATCGAATCGGTGCTATCGTGCTTAGTCGCAATATCAATGCCGAGACGCGTGAAAATCAGACTGGTTCAGTTAGGGGTAATAAAAGCCCTAACGAGGCTGCTGTTGCAGAGGAACGTCGCCGTGGGAGTAACGGAGAAGGTTATGAGGCTGTTGGCGGCAGCGGCAGCGGTGGTGGAAGGGCGGTCGGAGATGTGCGAAAACGGAGGCGAATGCGTGGGTGGAATGGTGAGGAAAGTGATGAAGGTGTCGAGTGCGGCGACGGAGCAGGCGGTGACGGCGCTGTGGTGCATATGCTATTTGTTCCGTGAGGAGAGGGCTTTGGTGGCGGTGGCGGAGGCGAAAGGGGTGGAGAAGATACTGCTGGTGCTGCAGAGCGAGTGCCCGGCGCCGGTGAGGCAAATGGGGAAAGATCTGCTGAAGATCTTGAAGGTTAATTCCAAGTCCTTCACCCTCTCGTTTTATGATACTAACAGTTCTTACATTATGCCATTTTGAATTGAAATCAAAATGTATTTTAACACTGCTAATTTTAATTAATTAATTAATTAAAGATTAGAGAAGTTGGAGGGGATTGTTATATGATACTTGGGATTTGTAAATTTGAGGGATTTTTTTATTATAAAAAATATTTTATTTCGATGTAACGTTGGTTGGAGGGTCCAAATTTGAACATAATTCAAATAATTATGTTACTGAAAGAGTAGACTTAATAGTTACATGAGTTACACTACAGAATGTGCAAACAATTACGTTAATGGTTCATATATGTTCGACCGTCTAATCAAAGGCTTAATCGTTTATACATTCAACATTTCTATGTCCCCCTCTCATTATTTAGCAAAGAAAAGGGTAAATTTCTACATCGAATTCAATTCAATCAAAAGGCTGAACAGTTCAAATTTCACACAATCCAAAACAAAATTGATTAAAAGGTGAGAAAAAAACATAAGATGAGGAGTTGCTCGTTCTACTTTTTGCGCTTGAGAGGTCCAGTCTTGTAGCCTGACTTGGTTGGCTTTCCCCAGGGTGTGCGAGACCCCTTTCCAAAGCTCCCACTACTCTTGCTCCTACCCTCACCTCCTCCATGAGGATGATCAACTGGGTTCATTGCCACTCCTCGAACCACTGGACGTCGACCCAACCACCGGCTTTGTCCTGCTTTTCTCAGTTTCCGGGTTCCATGGCTTGGGTTAGACACCTGACCAATGGTAGCCCTGCACCTTGAGTCGATCAACTTCTCTGTACCGGAAGGGAGTCTCACCAAGCAGTATCTTGACGTTGGCTCTTTCAATATCTTTGCACATGTTCCTGCTGATCGGACGAGCTTACCACCTTGACCTGGATTTATCTCAAGGTTGTGGATAATTGTACCGATGCGCATTGCAGAAAGTGGCATGCAGCTTCCAATTTGTGAATTGATGTCGATAGTAGCCATGTAGTTCGACATTCGCTCACGTAATGTACGACCATCCATCCCAGCTAGATCTGAAAAATGATGTAAAAGTAATCTTAACATAACGACAGTAGAAGAAGAATTCTATTAGAAACCATGTATTGATGGAAAGAAGATACGAAAGAGAGGGAGATGAGGAATCCCCGGCGGACCAAACGGTTACACGGAAGGGAGGCAAAATTGGGCCAGATGTGTACGAAGTCGTAACTACAAAAAGAAAACAGAACAGAGCACCAAATTGTTTGTTGAAGCTCAAACTAGTCTCTACACATTCATAAGAACATTTCCAACAAGTTTGTTGAAGGGCTTGAGGGCTGAAAGTGGCTGGAGTCCATTTCCCCAATTCGAGTTCTTGGAAGCCATATTAGGGGGGAGTTTGGAAGATCAATCAGGCCATATATACAAATACGTATCCTAATACCTATTTCGTTTAGTTTCTGGGAGCTTAAGGGGGATTTTTGTAGAAGACCTCGAAGCCGTTGGAGATAATAATGAGTATATAGAGGAATTAAAGGAGCTGATAATGAGCATATAGAGGAATTAAAAAATGAGTAAGTTTTAGCCAGTTTGGGAAGAATCCAAAATCTCCTTCTAAACTCAATGATCTTCAAGAAGGAATAAGGGTTGAGGAGGTCCAGATCACTCAGCCTAATAAGTGGTCTTTTTGCAACGAAGGGGACCCACGAACTCGAGGCTTTGACCATCAAATTGGAAAGGAGCAAAATTTGACCCCTAAGGCCTATCCTAATAAAGCCTTCTTTTCTTTTATCAGGGAGATCACATTTTGAAATTAAAGAAAAGAAGGCTTTATATAACCTTACAATGTTAATCTACGTGACACATAACTCCCCACTTAAATTGGTGTCACTCCCCACTTAAATTGGCAAGTAAATGAGAAATACCCCTAACCTCTATATTAAAATGGCTAATTAATGGTGGAATATGGTAACCTATGTGGTTTACAATATAACTTTAACTCCTATATTAAAAACTAGCTTAAATATGACAAACAAATATTTAAATTATAATTAAATAGTGCAATGTGCTTATTAGTCATCCTTAGACTAATTCCATAAATTTAGCTAAGTTCATTAAATGCAACTTAAAATGCATTTAATGCATCCCTTTCTTGAAGCTCAACTTTGCACAAGAGGTCTCCAACTTCTTCTAGAATTTCCTTTGATGAGATAGCTTGAATATAAGAGTACAAGATTTGTTGTAGCTTCTTGGCTCTCGTCCTTGTAATTAGACCTTGAGGCATGAAAATTCCTTGGTCGTGGTTCATATCAACAAGTGTCATAGAGAGCCAAACCATGGCTCGAGCGCCTCCACTGTTTTGTATCAGTTTTGTCCCAGTTATATTTTGTCCTTTATTCCCTTTCTATGTTTTTATACTCCAACTCTATTTTATGAGTTTTGTATCAGTTTTATGTTTTTAAATCTCCTGAGCTTAAAAGCAAAAAAAATTTACTATATTTTCACTCTATCGAGTCAGCCCACATCACGATATGTGCTTCAGACAATTTTTGACAACTTTGTTAAATGAACACCACGCAGGAACCTCAAAGAAAGAGCGAAGCACAATTCTCGTGCTCGAGGGTGATGTGTGCTTAGTAACACTTTTAAAACCATTAAAAGATTTGGCTATAAATCCTTTCATGTATATCCTCATCTACATTTACTATTATCGTTACAATTATTTTCTACCATACACGGTTTTGGACAAAAGATGATAGACCAACATAAGGAAAGGAGTCATAAAAAGAAAAAAAGAAAAAAAAGAAAAAGTTATTGCAGAAGCTACATGTTGAAAGGGTGAAGAGTCTCGCTTAAGTGCCTAGCTTTGATCAATGGAAGAGTTCAACAAAGTAAGCTGTCCATTTTATAGGTTTTTTACTCATGAAATTTCTTACGTAGAAGGTTAGGTGGCTAAGGCCCGAGGAGATGACTGAAGGATCATGTTATGACGAAGAAGAAAAAAAAAGAGAAAAGAGAGAAGAGGAAGAAAAGATGGTAAGAAAAAAAAAGAGGAGGGAGAGAGAGAAAGAGATAAATGGAGATAAACGCCTAGACTCAAGTTTCCATATTCTGAATTATTTGAATCTATTCAGTTGGTTCAGTTAGTTGGCACGGAAGAGTTTGGTTTAGATGAAAATTAAAAAATAAAAAATAAAAGAAGAAGAAGAGGAGCAAGGTTGAGATTTTAAAGGCTAAGCATTCTGGTCTCAGAGTGTATTATCAGATGAATTGTGAGGATATGTATCCATGCTCACTTTTCCGAGAAGATGGTGAAGGTTTGGCATTAAGGTGCGCTTTTTTGAGGTTCTAAGAGGAAGGAGGGTATTGCAATTCAAAAATTTAGAGGATGCACGGTAGGGAAGCTAGGTTGATTTTCGACTGGTGATTTTGAAGTTGGTGATTGTCTTCAGGCTTCAGGTCAAGACTGTCATGATAAGAAGAGGATCTTAGTCATTTTTTACTAAAGGAAATATACCTGATCTTAGTTCTCAAGTTAATGCTGTCTAAATATGACATTTAATCAAACAATGAAATATACAAAAGTGGGGAAAGAACCAGATCCCAAGGCTAAAGGAGATTACAGAAAAGCTCCCCAGTTAGCCAGAAAAATAGAAAAGGAAAAGTTATAAAAGAGATTCTAAGCCTACACCAAGATGTAAAAAACAGGTAATTGAATGGATGAATAATGAAAATAGAAAAGGCTGCCAATTGTATATCAAGTGTAGAAACATGTAAATAATTCCAAAGGTTTGAGCACCACCTCGAGAAGGAGTCATTAACACTGGTGCAAAAAGAATCAAAATGAGCAACTGCAGAAAAGTTATTATTAACGATTGGAAGGCCCTTCTTTTTAGTTCCTATGGCAAGGGTTCCCTCTACCCCTGCCTCTAGGCTGTTTGTTCCAATTTTTCATCATAAGTCTTGTTTCTTATCAAAAAATTTGTAGCTCCATGGGCAAGGGTTCCCTCTACCCCAGCCACTAGGTTGTTTTGTTCCAAATTTTCATTACAAGTCTTAACTCTTATCAAATAAAAAGAAAGCAATTGCAGAAAGGTTTTGGATGTGTTTTGATGAAGTAGGTTTCAGCTAGACAATGACGCTGTTTGGCTTTGAATCACGCCTATCCTTATCTTTTAAGGATGAAGTTCTACTGTCGTTTGCAATGGCTTTGGCCTTTTCAATTTTTGCTGCTCTTCGGTTAGAAGATGTTGCTGTGAAAATTGAAGGTTGTTATTATTCATTGGTGTAGGGGAGATAGATTGTCGATTAGCTCTTGCAATTTTGTTCCTTCTAGTGTCCCAAAGAGTATGCTAGTTGAGCTTTGTGCGATGCTTTGTGAGTTGTTGAAGTTGTTCAATTCATGGTATATTTGGTTTGAATTGAACTCAATAGGTCTATGGGATGGGTTTTGAGTTTTTCTAGTAAGTGGAGCTGTAGGTTGGCTAATAATTTGCTTCTTTTGAGGACGTTGTACAACTTTCTTTACAAATTTACATTTTATCAGTGAATATGTTCTGTTTCTTGAAGAGAAACACAAAAGTTAAACAAAAAATACTCGAAATCACAGTTATCTTTTTCTCTTTAAAGCCAAGCTACCATCCTAGGATTAAGACTTCCCCAGCACATGTAACATTCTAGAAGCCCTTTCCTAGTATATATAACAGTCAAAAGCTTACCATTTTTTCTAATGGAAAAAAACAATTGAATCCAAACAACAAAACGAAAGTATTCAATTGCCATTTTGGTTAGATTTAATTCTTGGTTACAGGCGTCCGTTAATCCGGCATTCTGTAACTACCAGCATGGTCTCATCTTTTTAGATTTGGATCCTTTAATGCAATTAGAGTTGGAGCTTATTTTGGTGGGCTGGTTTTTGTATGTCTCTTCCATATTTCTCAACGAAAGCTTAGTTTCTTATTAAAACAAAACCATTGAGGTTTAACTCAAGAATATGCCAGTGTTTTGAAGATGGAACTATTCGTTGACGAGAAACCAAACGAACAATCAATCAATCAATCAAGAAACCCCTTTGAAGACAGATATGACTACGAAAATTACTAAATGCATAAAGAAATAGAAAATGTGAACATAGCAACATTTTGGATTACGCCACAGATTCAGTACTTAGGACATAACAAATGAAGAAAGTAACAAAACTGAAAGTGGACATTTAGTATCTGCGTTCCAGATTATAAAATGAAGCAATTAAATCAGAAAATGTTTCATAGTAGCCAGAGTGAGCAGACAAACATTCCAACCACGAGGAAACCTATGAACTCAAAATCAAAAGATGATGAAAGTACATGGAATGCAAAGAAAAGGACGAAGTAAATACAAAAAAAAATCGTAGAAATGAAGACCACGTAAGTAAAATAGAAGGAAGTAAATGCAAAGAAAGTCGTAGAAATGAAGATCACATAAAGGAGAGGTAAGAGAGGGACTTACCAGAAACGAAGTCGGAGGTGGCGTCCTGATTGATGGAAGCCCGAGTCGAAACTGAATTCGAACTTTTGGAAGAGAAGCTCCTGAGGCCCCGAAGAGCGACCGAGGCCGCGGATCTCATAGCCATGACCTTTCTGGATTTCTTGACAAAAAAAAATTAAAATGTAAGGTTATTGAAATCATAGCCGTGAAGTGGAAAGAAAAAGAATCTAAGCTTACAATGAGTTGAGATTATAAGAAAGCGAAAAGCTAAATCGAAAGAAAGTCCGTCATAGAACTTGAAAGGCTGAGACCTACAGCACTGCTGCTACAAAACGACCGATGAGGCTGCTGCTGCCGACAAGGGCGAGGCTGAGAACGAGAAGCTGCGACGGCGAGGACTGCTACTGGCGAAGAATCAAAGATGCAGAAAGGGGAGAGAGGACAACGAAAACGGAGGCAAGGGGTTAATTTTTTGAAGTGCATATCCTTGGGCTCGGGTTGGGCTGGTTTTTTAATAAAAAACCGAATTGAACCGAAAGTGGTTGGTTTTCTCAAAAGGAAACCCATATGTTCAATCTAATTTTTAAAAAATTCGAAAAATTACTATATCTGTTTGATTTCCTTAAAAAAAAAAATAATAATAAAACATGTTTATATCAAACATACAAGGATGATTATACTATGCTAGAGTTCCAACCAATTAATCAGGATCGAAATCGAGTCGTGGTTGCTCTTAAACATGCATATGTGGTCAAATTTTCATTTTATTAAGTTTAGTTTGTGAATTTCTTCGTCAAATTAGTCATACGACATGTTTTTAATCGTTTTGCACAAGTTCTAGTCGATTCCTAAGAGTATTCCTTCACGATGTGTGTTTGAGGGCAAATCCCAGACTTCCTAAAGTCTAAATCTCTTAAAATTTCTGGACCTTGCAACTCATGATTAGGGACCTATCGTTAAAACCATCATAGATGTGGCCTCTAGTCCAAACAAAATTGGATGTGAAGTACTTCCTTACCCACGGCCCACATGTGCGAGTGTGAGTCCCCAAGCAGTTCGCACCCCCTGGACCCATCATAATCGGGCTAGTTGGCCGTAGCCAGACATTTAGAGGTCAGCAAACCTCTGAATATCATGTGAGGCATGCTCATCATCATAGTGTACGAGTCCGTACTCATCATCATAAATGAGGAAGTAATCCAATGTACATAAACACACAATATGCATGAGATCCCTATAGCTTTCATATTTAAATTATTTTTATGACACAACCCTATACATCATCACACATTACCCTAGGTAACATGCACGCATTGATTACATATTTTCGATCACCATATTATCATGTCATCATCTCATCATTATGCATTACATTTTATCATTTATCATCATCATCTCATATCATCGTATGACATCATATAACATCATCATATTATTATATAATATCATCACATCATTATACATATATCACTACATCATCATTTAACATAAAATGGGTCATTGGACACGTGTCGTCATACATAAGGCAAATCTTCTATTCGAGCCGATCGTAAGGTCACTTATTGGTCTTAGCCAACGTTCTTTTTAAATTTAAATGCTTGAGTTCATCTTTTGAAGTTGTTCCAAATATGGTTGCCTTCTATCCGAAATTCACCTCATTTCCTTTGGCAAATCTCACTTTCTAATTTAATAAAACTTAAAATGAGGAAATAGACCTTATTGAATTCGGCTTCCCGAGTGTCAAAACTATAAGACTCGGTGCCAAAATGTTTAACTCGAGCCGAATTCACTGATTTTGAGCCGAGGAGCCACGTCGAGCCAAGCCAAGCTGACTGAGCCGAGGGGAGTCGACGTCTGCAAGTGAGACACGTTTCGGTAGCGGGAGCTGACGTGCGTATGGGTCGAGATGCGGGTTGTTGTTTCGGGTCGGGTCGAATCCTCTGTTTATGCCGGTTGCATTTCTGGGCACCTGTCAGATGGTTCGTGATTTACAACTGGGCCGAATGGGTTACTCGGCTGCTCATTGTATGCAGTTGGTCCGAATGCAGGGTGCGCTCCAGGTGGATTGCAGGTGGTTTTGTGAGCCTAAGCTACGAGTTGTCGTCTAGGTCTGGTGGTTACGTCTAGAATGAGAAATAAAAATAGAATTGGAATGGAAAATATAGTATTGTCATTATATTCATATCCCTAAATAGGATACAAATTGGCCTACACAAATAACGAAAATATAATTAAATTAAATAGTGAGAATAAAATAAAATATACGTTAATCAAATCATAAATAAAAGAATATTAAGATATAATATCAAAGATATATTCCATAACTAAATATATTCTCCAAATATTATATCTCAACCGATAACATTGGTTGTAATGTGCTCCAAGGGTTCTGAATCCTCTCCCGTTTGCATTCATCGAAAAGACAAAAAAATGACTATTCGTCTTCTCCTTCGTCCTCTATGTGTTCTATTATTCCCAAATGGCAGAAGATTTGGAGTGTTTGGCATCTAATAACCTTGATATTCCCTTACATATTACAACATGGTCACATTACTCATTATTACTCCACGCGAAGCACGCTTGACTTCAGAGGCGCAATAATTAGGCGAGACGAGTAAAAATGGCTCGTTCTTCCCTGATTAACTCACAACACCTTTCTCCTTTTTAGACAGATTGTCAACTCTCTCTCTCTCTATAATAGCATTAAATTGGGTTTTACGCTTCAAAACTCTCTCTTTTGCACATCCATAGCCACACACAAACAATAAAACTTCACCAAACAAACCCAAAATGGTTGATATTCATTTGGGGAAGCCTGCAAATCTCTCTCTTCTGCTTCTGTTTATGAGCTTGTTCATATTTGTGGTTTGTTTCCCACATTATTGCAACGCCTCAAGAGCTTCTTTCTCAAACTTCTCCAAATACAACAGCCCTCCAACAATAACAAAACCCCATTTCCCCAGAAGATTCATCCCAATCCCTTCCTCAACCCCCTCCAGAAAACACAACGATATTGGGTTCCAGACCTGACAGTCAATCTGAGTTTTAGTGTACAGTTTATATGTAGATTTATTTACAGAGATATGATCAGAGAAGTGACAAGAACGTACTCCATTGTTCATCAAGATACCTGTTTTTGTTCGTAATATCAACTTCAACTGGTATGTACCACCTACCTTTCATTTGCTTTCCTTTTTTGATATCATCATATCAATATTCATACTCTTTAACTCTTTTTTACTACTTCACCTCCCTCAACTCACTAATTTCAATCAAATCAACCTTTATTCATGCACATATTAATTATTATATAAACTTGTCCAAATTCAAAATTTTCAATTTTACAAGAACAAAAACGTAATAAAGTGTGAGATCTATGTTGGTCGAAGAGGATAATGGAACATTTTTTTATAAAAGTGTGGAAACCTCTCACTAATAAATGCATTTTAAAACCGTGAGGCTGATAATTACATATAAAGAGCCAAAGCGGACAATATCTGCTCTTGGGCTGTTACAAATGGTATCAAAGTTAGATATTGAGCAGTGTGCCACTAAGGATATTGGGCACCAAGGGGTGGGTTGTGAGATCCGTATTGGTTGGAGAGGAACGAAATATTCTTATAAGAATGTGGAAACCTCTCCCTAACAGATGCGTTTTAAAACTATGAGGCCGTCGGTGACACATAAGGGGTCAAAGCGGACAATATTTGCTAGCGGTAGATTTAGGCTGTTACAAATGGTATCAGAGCCAGACACCGAGCAGTGTGCCACTGAGGACACTGACCCCAAAGGGATGGACTGCGAGATCCCACTTTGGTTGGGGAGGGAAATGAAACATTTTTTTATAAGAGTGTGGAAACCTCTCTGTAACAGACGCATTTTATAACTGTAAAGCTGACAGCGACACGTAATGGGCCAAAACAGACAATATCTATTAGTTATGGACTTTGACACAACGACACGTAATGAGTAAAAGCGAACAATATCTGCAATAAAACATTGACATGCAATGATAGAAATTGAGACAATAGAGAAATTTAGGATTTGATTGATTGTAAAGGGGAAGGCGGAATTAGGTTGGCAGTCAAATATGAGAAAGTGAAAGTTGTTTGTATTTTTCCATGACGTTAATAAATTAAGTCAATGTCATGCTTTTCTTTTGATACACCATGTGAAGATGTTGCTTAATGGTCCCTATGAAATTCATTAGGTGAGATTATCATTCTTTTTCATAGAGTGTAACGCACGTACTCAAAGTCGCTACTAACGTCTCATGCTCATCTTTAATACGAAAACATCTCTCTTAAAATGAACCTCATTTATAAACAAAGTTTGAAAACGGTGAAAACAACTTTTTCTCTAGAAAACATGGTCATGGTCTTACGTGTTTAAATACGAAATCTACCCTATGCATGTGCCACAGTCTCGACTCACAATGTCGCCGTCATTTGTACAAGTGCGCCTTGCCTTTACCTGAGAAATGATATGGCACATGCCTGAATATTTTTAGGCTATTGTCAAGTACACTTTTCCTTCAATACTCAAGCCACATGCCTTGCTACTTGAAATAGAAGTAGCATGTGGCTTGAGTATTTTAAGAAATACTTACTAAGTGACTTCACTATTGGGGTTAAATGCAAACACGTGAAGTTTCATGAAATTGTAGAAAACTGTTGCTCCCTATAGTTGATCAAACAAGTCGTCGATTCTCGGGAGGAGGTACTTATTCCTTTTATAAGTGCGCTAACTCAACGAATTCCTCAAACACAAACGAGTGCGTAGAACCTGAATCAAATAATATTAAAGCCAAATGACCAAAGACAGGTAGTGTACCTGTAACAACTGCATCAGGCGCGTTGACTTGCCTGGCTGTGGTTGCATGGGCTACAGCTCGCCCCTGCTGCTGTTGGGCACCCCAACCCCTTTGAGTCTCTGTTGCAGGTTCGTTAGTGTTTGCATTCATGATTGTATGTGTTTGCATTTAACTCTAATAGTGGGGTGAATATTTTTTAAAATAATCAAGTCATGTGCTACTTCTATTTCAGGTAATGGTAAGGGATCCCTATACGGCTAACAACCACATTGCAATAACCCACCTGACGCTTAGCCTAATAGACTCGGCCCAAATATGCACACGCAATCCATGATCAACTTGCACACTTGTAAGCTTACTTGAGACTTGCGTCTCACCCCAACTCGCAATCTGTACGTGCATTAGCTCCCCCTTCTACCACATTTTATAGTGTGTGGTCGTTGACTCCTTCGGCTCGGCTTGGCTTGGCTTGGTTTTGTGTAACTTCTCAACTTAAAAATGGCTTAATCGGCTCGGGTTTGACGTTTAGGACACTGTTCCTTACATTTTTTACCCTCTTGATGCTGAATTCAACCTTAATTAAGGCAATTGAGGCCAATATAAGGTACAATTTCTACATTCAAGATTAAATTAAGTTAGAAAACTAGAGTTCTAAGGAAAATCACATGATTGTAACAGGGCCGATGATTGTTGGAATAATCTCGAAGGACAAACTCAAGTATTTAAATTTAGGGAGAACGTCTACTAAGGTAAACCAAGTAAGTGGCTTTACTATCGGCTCGGTCGGAAGACTTATCTATGTATGACGACACGTGCAAGACACGTGCCAAATAACATTGTGTCATTTATGCTTTATGTACTAGTATAATATGATGTTAGATTATGATGATGATGTGAACTAGTATAATATGATGTTAGATTATGATGATGTGAGGATGTTATATGATGATATGATGATGATGATTATGCTGATGACATGATGACATGACAACATAATGATATTATAACATGATGATGATATGATATGATGATATGATGACGATGATGCATGATTACATGATGATGTAAGATGCATAATGATGATTTGACTTAATCTAATGATATTCATATAAGATGATGTGCATTTACGAGATACCATGATGCATAATGATCAATAGTTTTTCTGAGACACAACTCTAAATGATGTTAATAATGATGAATATACGAAGGCTAATGCATGCATGTTACCTAGGGTAATATGTGAATGACTCATAAGGTTGTGTCATAAGAATAATTTAAAATGAAAACTATAGAGACCTCATGGATATTGTTTGTTCATATACATCAGATCACTTCTCCATTTATGATGATGATTACAAACGCGTACACTATGATGATGATAGTGATGATCAAACCTTGCATGACATACGAGGGTTTGCTTACTCTGGTCATCTAACTAGGACAACTAGCTCGATTATGATGGGCCCTAAGGGTGCAAACTACCAAGGGACTCATGGTCGCACGTGTGAGTCGTGTGTAGTGTGTAGGGAAATACTACACACCGAATTTTGTCCAGACGAGAGACCACCTCTATGATGGATTTAACGGTCTCTAATTATGAGTTGCATGTATTTGCATTTCTTAACTCTAATAGTTGGATCACTTACTGAGTATTTCTTAAAATATTATTTCAGGTAAAGGCAATACACGTACGGCCTGACAACAACATCGCAAGTAAAGACCATGACACATGCATATGATAGTAATATGTAAATTATTAGACTATAGGTTAGTATAGGGCAGGTTCATTTTCAATATTTACCTTGTTTTATTTAATATTTCGTTTGCATTGTTTCAAAGACCATTCTTCCTAAACATGTAAATCCATAATATGGTTTAATGAAAATAATCTTAGATGATTATTTCTCCATAAGAGAGTATGTTATGAAGAACGTTGCAACTTTAGTTGAGCAGAAATCTAAGATCGTTACAGTTATTATTTATATCAATAAGATGAACCTTCTTTTGTAGCAGCTCAATCATACGAACTCTAAATTTAAGCATATTGCGGAGAATGCACATGAATGTAAGTGCACGCGAGTGTCGAATCTAGATATCAAATTCTAATATGAATCCTAAACATAAGTTCGGTATTACATATTTTTAAAAATTGAAATTTACCCGACACTAATTTATTTTTTATCCAAAAAAATTCAAATAATAACAACTAGCCATGATTACATGAATATCATGTAATCATTTAATTTTTGTTCTATTTTCCTTGTTGTTTACTCTTTAATTTATTCCCTCATTTTTTTTAACACAAAATTATGTTGTCACAATTCCAATTAAATTATAATTGAAATAATTGTAGATAATCTTTTTAATTAAAAGTACTTTATTTTTTTATGCTTTCCTTTGTAGGGTAATGTTTTCGTTTTCTAATCTCAATCATAATGAATGTCGTGTTGTCGTGTTCTTATATTTTTTTTACTTGTTAATTTATTCCCTCCTATTGCTCTTATTCTTTTTCTTCTTTTTCGGTTTCGGTCGGTGACAGCAGAGAAATTTGGTAAAATTCTACCTATTCCACCAATGTCAACCTACACGTATGTATGTGTGTATATATATATATATATATAAAGGTAATTTGAGATATTTCCGAGTACCATTCATTATCCAAAAGCCATGCACATCATTACGAACCTACATGTATCTATTTATATATTGACTTATACATGTATCTATACACGTATTTACAAGTGACCCTTCAACACATGTATCTATTCCTACATTATTTATACATGCATTTACAAGTGACCCTCCAACACGTTCTTCTTCATCGAGCACGATTTGACATTTTTTTTTCCTTCTTTCAAAATTTTAACACTATATTTCTGGCGTGTTAAGAAGTTGTCAACATTCCAATGAGATTTTAATAGAAATAATTGACAATTTTCTTATTGATAAATGCATTTTTTTTTTCTTTTCTTATCTTCATGGTAATTCATCAACGTCGTGTAGTCGTTTACTTTTTTGTCCTATTATCTTTGTTTCTTTCTTATTAATTTATTCTCTCATTCATATACATTTTTTTTCCCTTTCTATTAATTATTGTCAGGAGAGTCTTGACTTCTTTTACATTGGTATGATATTGTCTACTTCGACCATAAATTCTCAGGGTGATTCTTATTTAGCCAACGTGGACCAACTCCTCCCAATAAATTTGGACAATCTTTCCTTGAGACCACTTTTTGTGGAGTCTTCGAACAAAATATACTTGAGGATTCTATTGATATGGCTAAGTTAAGGGCATGGTTGTGATACCATGCTAGGAACCACGAACCTTTGCACAAGTATGATATTGTCCGTGCGCAGTTTCTGTAATCATTCTAAAGCGTGTATTTTCAAAGAGTCCATCAGCAACCAGTGCAAAGTTGGATTGTCATGAGGATGATGTTGAGTTTAAGTGGGGGAGAGTGTCACAACCTCACTGAGAAAAAGTAGATTTTGACCCCTACATGTCAAGATAAACAAGGGGCAGCCCTCAAGTGGTGTCCATCTGACCATGTTTGGGCCGAGATTGAGATGTTTCATGCGACCGAGGAAAATGGTGCATCATCCAACACACCAAGAGTGTGCATTGATGCTAAGTCGAGACATACACAAAGTTCGGGAGAATGAGGCGACACGAGCGTCGAAAACATGCTCAAAGAGGATCGAGTAGGGTCTCGAGCCATAACCTTAGAAGTTGGGGTTTCGATATGATTTTTGGCATGTGGCTTGAAAAATAATTTCGTCTATATGAAAGATGAAAGCTCACTAAATTTAGTGTCAATCGGATACCCAACGGATTATGCACAAGGTCATATGTCCGTTCGCCAAAATGACGTATACTAAAGGACTAGAAATGCCTCAAAATGTACTATAGGGGGAGGCATGATGTCAACTCTCCACCACGCCTAGGCCCTATAGCCTAAACGAACTATCTTACAGCACATGCGTGTGTCACGGTGAGGGCGAATGACAGAGACAAGTGTCTCAGGCTACTTCCTTTGAAATGGGTATTTCAAGAAAAGTACCGGGTGGCACGAGTGTGCCGGTATTCTACCCTTACCTACATGTCAGTGCATATATAAGTACCACTATTGTATCCATGTTTGTTTCTTGTTTAGCAGTCTCTTTTGTATTTGCCTCTCTCTGTGTTTTCGTAAATCGAGTTTGTAAACTTTATCCATGTATTTTAAATTATATTTGCACCATGATTTTTACCCTTTTTTTTCTTTCTTATTTTTAAAATGACAAAAAAAAAAAAATCAATTCTTTTAAACATTTTATGTGCATACGGTTTATGTGCATACTTAGCCGCATGTGACTCGAGTTTCTAAATAAAACAGGTTATTACACTTAATTCACTTTTTACGAGCATTCTCATAGTTGAAGAGAAGATTCAAAAGAGCTAGTTTACATAGACATTGAGTGTGTGTTATAAAGATATCGCGATGTAATGTTTGACCGTCTACCTAAATCTCTGTCGTGACAACAGGAGATCGACCATGAAATTGAATAGCTACGTCGAGACGCAAGATCGCCTACTAAAATATATATCGAATTAGTAGAGTTTCAAAAACAGTTAAACTAGTTGTTGAATGTTAGATTTATTAGGCCCGCACAAGCTTCATATGACGTCCTAGTGTTATTTCAAGAGAAGGATGTGAATTTTCATTTGTGCATGGGCTATCATGTCCAAACTAAACTTACTTTTTACAATAGGTATCCGTTGTCTGTCATCCTTAATTTGATGTAGGGCTCCATGGTCCAAAGTATTTCTTGAAACTTTGATTTGAAATTGCGTTAATTGCACTATTAACAGGTGAGTAAAGATGACGTGTGGTATGAGGTACGAGGCTTATGAATTTTTAGTCATGCCCCAAGCACTTTTTGTACTGACAAATTAGGGAATTCATGAGTATCTTGATAAGTTTGTGGTAGTATGTGATGTCCCATATTGGCTGGGAAAGAGAACAAATCACCCTTTGTAAGGGTGTAGAAACTTTCCCTTAGCAGACTCGTTTTAAAGTCTTGAGGGGAAGCTCGAAAGGAAAATCCTAAGGATGATTAGGCACATAGTGGTTCATAATCCGACCCTAATTCATCGTTGGTCATTGCTAAAAATAAAGAAGTGCTTATTTTGTGAAGAGCACATCAACTTTAGGCACATAATTGAGAGAGATCAGATTGACATGGAAGACTAGAAGGTCAAATTTGACACTTGAGTAGAAGAGCTGCAAGGGAAGTTATTGAAACGAATCAAATAATGTGAACAGCACTTCAGAATCAGACACTTTATTTCTCTTCCATTTAAAATATGTTGATGTCAACTATCAAAATGTTTGGTGAAAGTAAAAAATGAAAGTAAAAGTTATCCTCCTCCTCAAAGAGCTACTACTGGCGTTGTCATCTCTTCCAAAAATGTAGAAATTCAAGAATTACTTCAATCACTGTAATCATAGCCTTCATCATCATCCAGCTCCACTTCAGCATCATCACCTCTGCCCATGAGAGTGAGAAAAAGTAGAACTGCCACAAGCTGTGCGCCTACAAAATACTTGGCTCTCCTTTTAAACGTTTTCTCCTCGTTCGTCTTTTCTTTCTTTGGCTTCGTCTTCGGCTTCGAGCCTGAGGAACGATGCATCCAATATATTGAGAAAATAATAAACTTCAGATTTTATCTCAGAGCAGTTGAAAGTAATTTCACATAGTAGTTTCTATAATCTTACTTCATTAGGTATTCAATGCTCACTGCTCAGAAACTTGAAATAGAAGTATTTTCACATTATCCAAAGAAAAAACTAGGACTGACTTTCAAGACTGAAGATTTCAACGACTGAATTTCGTAAGTTGAATAAAATAAGGCCATAACAAAGGGTGACTATTGCAAAACATACACAAACAAATCACAGTGCCATTATCTTGGGTGTGTGCCATTCAATATGACTATAGTTGATGTGAGTTTAAACTGGTGAATTGGTACAATACGCTTGATCATATATCATCTTAAGCAAGTGGGAAAAATGGGAAAAATATATGCAACTAGTTCTTCATTCCAATTGCAACCCTCACCACAAGGAGAAAGGGAATATAAGAAACAACAGAAGTTGATGAATGCAAGTATAATACCGAATATTTCTAAAGTGAATTTGAATATACATGCAATCCATGGCAGAGAACATCAACAACTACAAAGTCGGATTAACAAATGAAAACCATAGAGTATCTCTAAAAACAAATAAAGGAGTAAGGACTATTTAAAATGATTTAGTGATATAAGATCATGGTCCAGTAAACTAATCTCATCAAGTGTAAAGGAAAAAAAAAACATTTCATAACAAATATAAAAATATATTTGACAGTCAGAAACATCTTACTCCAATTATAAGGACCCCTTCTAGGTGTTGATGATGAAGCCCCTGAACTGGAACGTGAGGAAGAAGATGATGGCATCGATGATGTACCGACTTCTACCAACTCTGTCATATATTTCTCCGCATATCGCACAAGATTACTATGCTCTAAAAGTTTACTACGAAGCACGGATGTTTCCTAAAGAACAGATAATACCAACAAGATCCCCAGAGTGAGAACTCCATTTCAATTGAGAAGAAAGGAAAAAAGCAATACTTGGAATAATGTACTGTCTATCAAACAAAGATCAAGGTCGATTAAGCGGGATATTTTAATAAGAGAGGAAACCAATGGAAACTAATGCAGTAAGAAATCAACTAATTGTTGTGTTTTTAATGGATAAGACAATTAATTGGTGCCATTAAAAAGAATAATTGGTGAAAGACAGATTCAAAAGTAGAAAAGAAAAACTTTGGCACCACAACAATAAGAAATGACTTAATGATTAATAAAGCATATCATACATTGTACAACTTCTTAACATGCTCAATTCTCTTAAATTCTAACAATGTATATTCCTCTTCATAGAATATACATGTATGCATAAAAGTAATAATAATATCTGCATAGCTAGATATGCTAAGGATCCATATGATGTCAAAAATCAAGATCAAGATATGGATGTAAATTAGATGGAAAAAACCATATGAGAAACTGCAAATAGATTTTCTTATAACCCCCATTTCACTTAAGTTAATAGAGCTAGTGTTACTACCATTTTTTTTAGGAAAAGAGAGCTACTACATCTGAAAAGTTAGCATTTCATTAGAATAAGAAGCTTCCTAGTACTACAAGCAAAGAATGATCCGAAAATAACTCACAGGTAGTACTTGAAGAGTGAAAAGTAGATGCCCAAGAACAAGTGCATCTAAACTAGATGGCCTGCAATATGAAAAAGTGACGCATCATCAAATAATTAGGTTGGCTAAAGAAGTATATAATATACAACAAGATATCCAGAGCCCAAGAGATTCACCTGTTATTAAACAAAAAATCCTGCTCTCCTAACCTAGTTGACAAAGCTCCATAAGCAAGATTTGCATTTCTATAAATCTGTCAGCCAATAAATGCAATCAATTTGTGATATCAGTTTCTATAAATCCTTCATCGATCACATTGTGCTCTCTTCCAAAGAACAGATTAATGATCAATTGACAGGAGTTGAAGAGAGCAAATATGCAAGTTAAAGAACCCACAAACATGAAAAGCAATAACAGATATATGACCTGCTCTTCTCTTCGCTCAGCATTTTCTTTGTTAATTCCAAGTTGGAGCTTCACAGAGTGTACTTTCTTAAAGTACAAAACCTTTCCAATCGGCCAGGGAAGGTCAGAATAATAGACCTTTTGAGCTGAACCACCATCAGTTCCCAACCAAAGCTCGTAAATGGCAGCATCAGCAAGCCAGGAACTAACCATAGATTTTGCAGATACCCATTCTGGAACTGAGTGAAACTCAGTATCGAGATCAACGATACTATCCTGTTTTAAACACTCAATGACCCCGCCCCTCTCATTATTGTACTCCACATAATTACCAGTTTCAACATAAGGAATTATATCTGCCAAAGAAAAAAAAAACAGATACCGTACTAGTTAATTCGCTGAAAATGAAACAGGTATTATCTAAATCCTACAGCAACTAGTTGAACCAGAATCAATGACCAGACTGAAGAACTGTAAACACAACCAATCTAGGCACACGAATACAGACACTGCCGAATAAACATGGAAGTATCTCTACGAAAAGAACCGTAAATTGCCCTACTGCGATTTCAACTTACGCACAATTTCACCAAACCATAAGATCATCACCGCAAATAACCACACGAATGCAAGAACAAAAGAAAGGGAGGAAACAAGACATAGTAGACATGGGAGATTACCAGACTCGGGGTAAATGAGATTGAAATCCAAGTGAAAATGAAGATTGGCCAATTTTAGATAGAAATAAACGGGCAAGCAATCTGGGCATCCAGTGGGCAAATTGAAGCAGGGTTTCCTCACGACCAGAGTCAAATCTCCTTCTCCTCTTCCACTCATTTGCTCCACCAACTTAAAATCTCTGTGCAACTACAGTGAATTAGGTTCAGGTCGAAGGGTTTTGGTAGCCGATTAGACGAACGGGCTTCTATGTCCTAAACAACTTTTTGGATTTTTTTTTTTTCCTTTAAAGTCCAATATGACATGTTTTGTATCGTTTTTTAAAAAACTAAATTCCCCTGAAAAAATAAAAATAAAAAATAATTAAGTTTTAATTTTTTTTTTAATAATATCGTGATATATCTTATAGATTTTTATTTTAAAAAAATTTATTAATATTCTTCCATTTTTTAAAAAAAATAAAAAAATAACTATAAAATTTTAAAAGTAACATTAACACCCTACCAGACGACTTTTAAAAGTGTTGAGGGGAAGCTCGAAAGAGAAAGCGCACATGAAGCTTGATGGGCCCAACATTCTCTTGCATCCGTTGCGACATGGTCACATTATTTACTCTTTGCTTTTTAAGAATGAAGGCTATCTCCACAGACCAATACGAGTTCTTTCAACATGTTTTGTTTTCACTTCCATGCATCCTAGAATTTTCCTAGGAGGTCACTCAATATAGAATTGCTCCAAGTAAAGCATGCTTAATTATGGAGTTTCTATGATTGATCCAACAAGAAGAAAGGTGCACCTTGCTGGTACAGGTAGTAACTTCAGTTTCCTTTAAACCTTTCTTAGTCTTTCTATCTTCACGATTGCTCTCATTCAGATGTGGTTTCGGTTCATTCATATATCCTTGCTTTACTCGAGTGTCACATTTCCACTAGCATCGCTTTGGTTCGTCACTGAACCACATCTTACTAGGAGAGTTACCACTTTGATACTATTGTAATGAACTAAGCTCAACAGACCAACATGAGTCATTCCAACATATTTTGTACTCTCTCACATGAGCCTCACAAAAATTTCTAGGAGGTCACTACCCGATATAGAATTGCTCCAAGTAAAGCACGTTTAACTATGAAGTTTCTGTAATTGAGGTACCAAAAAGGAAGGTGCACCTTGTCAGTATAGGTGGTAATTTTTATTTCGTTTAAGTCTTTTTTTAGTCATCCTATCCTCATATCGCCCTCATTTGGATATGGTCTCAGATCGCTCTCAATTTTCAAGGTTTCGAAACTCGAATTGAGACTAGAGACGAAAGTGAAAAAAAAATCAAAATAATAGATAAAATCGAAAAAAATTTAAAAATGGACAAGTGCTCTAGAACAACCGATCGCCAACTCTCGAAGGCTCCTCCACCTCGGCCAGTAGCCAGCAAACACCTAAAAAAAAAAAAAGAAGGTGAGTATAAAATACTCAATAAACAATCTATTTGTAAGCTCTCATTGCATCCATCAGGAGACCACATGCTTTACTCTAGGCTCTAGGTGTATTGCTCTTGCTAGGCATAATCTTAGGTAGCTACCTTAGCCTACGCAGCGGTTACCAATATCCGAAGATGAGGCGCTACCTCCATAGGCTCCATACTAGGTGGGAACAATATGGTGAGTGCTAGGTCGGAACTCACATTGTGCATGTATGATAGGCAAGATTGTGGTAATTGAATTTCATAATTGGTATCACAAAAGTGGCGGTCATGTATGATAGAAAGTTTATAATTCTTTTTCTCTTACAACTTGTGTTTACTCGGCATTTCCTGGGAGGAGTCGGATGGGATGTTTTGATACATAACATGTGATTAAGTTAGTATCTTTATGAGCATAGGATGTGATATGTTGGATATGAGTGGGAGAAAAATGAGAGCTTTTCATCCTTATAAACACATTATTGTGTATAATTCATGAAATGGAATCTTTTCTTACTTTTTCTAAATCCCACTTGCAAAACCCACTTTCATTTTCCACTCATTTGAATCGAAACATTCATACAACTCGAAAACTCATCTTTAACGAGAGATTCGAGGTCGGCAACTTTATTGGATTCAATGTTGTACCCAAAAGATGGAATCGTAATAACGAAGTGTAACAGCCCAAGCCACCACTAGCAGATGTTGTTCTCTTTGGACTTTTCCCTTTCGGGCTTTCCCTCAAGGCTTCAAAATGTGTATGCTTCGGAAGGTTTCCACACCCTTATAAAGGGTGTTTCGTTCTTCTCCCCAACCAATGTGGGATATCACAATCCACCCCCTTTCAGGGCCTAGCTGCACTCGTTTCTTTCTCCAATCGATGTGATATTCCCACCAAATCCACATCCCTTCAAGGCCTAGCGTCTCTACTGACACACTGCCTCATGTCTGTTGTGATATCCTACGGTGGTTGAGAAGGAGAACGAAACACTTTATAAAGATGTGAAAACCTTTCTCTAGCATACGCGTTTTCCTTTTGATGTTTCTACAATATTTATTACATGAAAAAATCAATTGAAAATATTTTCTCATTATATTTTGAAAATTCAAATCTAAATCGTTGGTTTTTTTATGTTATAAATCTTTAGAGATCAAGGAGTATTTTAAAACAAAATCAGATTTTTCAGTTTAAATTAATCATTTTTTATTTTTATGGGTTTGACCAAAACTAAAAAAAATAATTGAACAAAAAGTCAACATCAGTGCTTATTTATATAGTCAAACAAGGATTTATCTTCAACTTGCCTCCTTTTTGTTGGATAAATGGTTCCTACTATTGATGATATATATATGAAAATTATTTTGACATTGGGTTAAGCGTTGACTTTGGAACTAGTGAGATGGTCCATCTTACATGGTGTTATGGTTTTGATTGTGTCAAATCTACCTTAACACTTTTTGAACCGTTTGTAGGTGGGATGATTATGTAGCTCAAGTTCAGTACGATATTTCGTCCATAGACAAATGGGCAGACTGAAAGGTTGAATTAGATTCTGGAGGACATGCTAAGAGCATAGGTTATAGACTTTGCAAGCTATCGGGATGACACTAGCACCTTATGGAGTTTGCTTATAGTAATAGTTACCAAGCAATCATTTAATCGCGCCTTTTGAGGCTCTATATGGGCGTAGGCGTATGTCTCCTATCTTCTAGAAAAAGGTAGGTGAGTAATGGTTTCTAAGGCTAGAGTTGGTTCAGGTTACTAAAGTAACAACTCAGAAGATTAGAAAAAGAATACTAACTACACAAAGCTGGCAGAAGAGATATACAAACTCTCGTAAAAACGACCTCGAATTTGTAGTGGGGGATCACATCTTCTTGAAAGTTGCATCTATGAGAGGGGAGGTGAGATTCTAGAAGAAGGAAAAGTTGAGACCGAGATTGGTAGGCGGGGAGGTGAGATTCTAGAAGAAGGAAAAGTTGAGACCGAGATTGGTAGGCTATTTTTAGGTCTAATGACGTATAGATTGGCGCTACCAGCCACCCTTGTTGTCGTGCATAAAGTGATTCACATGTCTATTTTGGCGAGTGCACTCTACATCTTTCATATGTTATTGAACATCGTTTCAAAGATGATCTTTCTTTTGAAGCAAAGCCCATCGAGATTCTCGCAAGGGATATGAAGTGTTGTTGCACAACAACCAAATGGACGAGATCAAGGTCTTGTAGAGGGACCATCAACATGATGAGGTGACCTCGGAAAGATAAAAGGACATGATCAGAGTGTCCAATCCAAGCTTTTTCAAGATTAAGTAACTTTCGGGCACAAAAGTTTCTAATGATGAGAGAATTTGTAACACCTATGCTATGAAGGTACGAGTTTTCTTAACTTTTCCTTATATATTTTTAAAATTTGTGTGTAGCATTCGATTGGATCCCCAAGTTCTTCCTCGAGCTTCTTTAATGGCAGTAATTTTGGGGGTTTTGGTTAGAGACACTTTTAGCGCTCGGTTACTTCACGAAACTTGAAAGGAATTGGTGAACCACAGCTCTCGAATTTGGAAGAAATTTGAAAATAAGAAACTCAAAAACTAAAAGGCTATAACTCTTGATTGGAGGCTCGGTTTAGCTCGATTCTTACTCCAAATGTCGGCCCACCGTTCATAATTTATAGAGGAAAGATTAACCAACCTTGAAACATCCAAAATCGTCATGATTTCAAGGTTAGATTTTTTGGAACCTCTGTAAAAAAAAATATTTTCTCCGATTAGGACCTTGCTATCTTCATTTTTTAATTTCCACGGTTAGGTTATCCATGTAATTACGACCTTGATTTTAATGGAATATTAAGGTGGTTACAATGCAATACACTCGTTCTCCTAATTTCAATAACTTAGGCCCTGCCCTCTTGTAGTACACCCGTTCACCTTACTCTCAAGCAAGCATACACGGACTTCCTAAAATTTTCTTTGATCAGACATAAATATAAGTTTAATGGAATAAGTTAGGTCGAATTCTTCGACATAATATGTAGCATCTCGTATTTTAAGGTAAAATTATCTTAAATAAAGATACTCTATATTTATTTATATTAAGATAAAAACCGTGCATGCATGCATTTATTTTAAATCATTGATAATAACGATGTCTAGTTTCTTCTTAAACATCTAAATTTCTTGCATTATCAACTATACTAAATGATCAAACACAAGTAGTACGAGGAAAAATGATACACGAGTTCATAGTACCTATGAAAAACAGCATCATTGTGATCTCATTAGGCAATGAAAACATCAACTCATCCGAATTGTATTCGTAAGCGCCTAGAAACACTTCTATATATGTGAATGTATTTGATAGCCTCATGTAGATACAAACGCTCCTACACACGTGGAGATACATGAGCCTTTGAGTAATTGTAAAAGTTGAATAACAATAACTCATCAAGTGTGGAGGTAGAGAATGTCCTGACTTGATTTTCAAGCGGTTTGAAGCACATTTCGTGACATAAGTTGATTCAGGAGGAATAAAAATACCATAAGAATTTTTATTTTTTAAGACAAAAACTCGAAATTCTTAAAACATAAAAAAAAAACGTACATAATGAAATATGGTTTAAGTTTAAATACAATTAAATGGAACTGTATAAAAAAAAAAACACTAGGTCGTACAAAAAGACATAAAATCAGTTGAGGTTCTTGAATCTAGGTTGTCTTTGTATGACACCTGCTTCAAACATCGTTCGTCTTTGACCAGTATCTAGTCACTACATGAAAAACATATAAAAATTAAAGTAACTTAGTAAGTAGCCTACTTATAAGCTCTTCATCGTATGCATGGCTGATAGCCGACCTTGGCCTCTTGTTTGTGCACTCTCCCATTGTAAGGGAAGCTTCGGAGCAACAGAGAAATTTAGGGCGGGCCCCACAGGGGAAGTGCGGTGGACCCATTTGGATTTGAAACCCCATTTAAAGTCTTGTGAGTGGAGGATCCACGTAGAATGCTATGAGCTCTATCCCTTACTAAACCCTCCACGTCATCATTTAAAAAATTATATTATAATAAATCAAATCCAATCCTTTCATACTCTCTCTCTTTTTCACCCCATAAATACCTCTCCTCCCCTCCACCTCACCACTCTAACCTTCCAAATTTCTCCCCCACACAAAAAATGTCAATTTCAAGAAAGCTCTTCACCGCTGCAGCCCCCTCCGCCCTCCACAACCCACTCCAATCCATCTCTGGTGGCGGTAGCGGTCCCGACACCAGCTTCGACACCAATGTCGTCATGGTCCTCTCCGTCCTCCTTTGCGCCTTAATCTGCTCCTTAGGCCTCAACTCCATCATCAGATGCGCTTTTAAATGCTCTCGAATTGTCGTCTCCCATGACCACCGTCCTCTCCCGACCACCACCGCTCCCCCGACCGGAGTTCACAAGAAGGCCATCAAGAGCTTTACTGTCGTTCAATTCTCCCCCGAGCTCAACTTCCCCGGGATGGATAGTGAGTGCATTATTTGCTTGTCGGACTTTGCTGCCGGCGACAAACTCCGGCTGCTCCCTAAGTGTAACCATGGATTTCATGTTAGGTGTATTGACAAGTGGCTGACTTCTCACTCCTCTTGCCCTAAATGTCGGCAGTGTTTAGTTCAAACTTGTCAGAAGATCGCGGGCGTTGGCTCCTCCACCTCCACCTCCGGTCAACCGCCGCCTCCGATTTTGAACTTAACACCGGTGGATCACGAAGGTCCGGTACGAATTTAAGGCAAAATAATAGGGATTAGGAGTAGAGTATGAAATTGTGTATATATATATAAATAAATATTAAAATTTCTCACAAATTCTAATGTTCTTCAAATTTGTATGATGTTTAAAAAATTTATAGTGAATTTAATTATAAAATATAGAATAATTATTATGAAAATGGGTTGAGATAAATCTAACAACCAAACAAAATATTTAAAAAAAAAAAAAAAAAAGAGAGAATGAAATAGAAAGGCACTTTGAATGAATGGGAGATGAAGATGAGAGCACTAATACACAAATCATTGTATGGGGACTAAATTAATGGCATCAAAAGGATAATTTTGTACTATTTGTATTGCCTTTGCTTCCCGACTTTGGGGCCACCCAACAATTAACATTACCCTACCCAATCCGCCACCGCCCCATATTCATCGTTCATCCGAATAAATGTAAAACTGTATGTCACGTGCATTAAGATACTTCCCGTTATGATGAGTATGGACACATACATTATGATATCTATGTATCCCATGGTATTATGTGAGCTTCTTTACCTCTGTGGCTCTCATAGCCTATTTTTAACTTCAAACTTGAATCATGAAACGTTTCGTTCTATTAATGGTTTTAAGTTCCTCGATTTCAACCGTAGACTAGTTACTTGAGTATAGATCAAGAAGTTTTATTTCAACAGCTCACGAACGATAGCTATTCGATTGCTATATTCTTGCGATAGCGAAGGCGTGGTTGAAATTCTAAGAGAAAGTCGATGCTAAGGTTCAATGGGAATTTAGGGGTATTTTTGTAATTCTCATTTTTGAATTTATTATTTCGAAAATTCAATTTTTGAAAAAAAAAAACATTTTTTTTAGTTTAGCTTTATTTGTTGTTGTTTTTTTTTTTTTTTAATTAAAGAGGTTTGTTTATTAATAATTTATTAATCTTATAATTGATACATATGAGACTGACCAATAAGATCGATATTTCAATCTTTGTGCTTCAAATATATTAATTTGATATCGAGTCTCTAATTACGATGAGTACATAGATATCTTTCATTTCTTCAACTTCATTAATATTATAGATATTTAAGTATCTCGAGCAAAATATTTTATAGTATTTTTTGCTATACATAGTTTTTTTAAATTAATTATTTTTGTTGTTTTTTTTTTAATGTCAGGAGCTATATCTTTTTTTATTTTTTATTTTTAGAGTAATCAATTTCTTAGGAAAATGTCCGTATTAGCTCTATGACAATGTTGAAATATGTTAGTACGCTAAATTTTTGGTTGTTGCTGATAATGAATTTGTTTTCTTGAATGTTGATTTTTGTTTGTTGGTGAACCTTTAATATCTTTTTATCTCAAATTTATGGTTTGTGGATATATATTTTTTTTTAACGAGACAATCGAGCGGAAAATAGAGGGTTGAGTTATGAAAATTATCGGGTTAGATTGGGTTATTAATTTAACCAAACCGTACTTTTGGGTTCGTCCAAAAAATTTCTCAACTCAACCCAATTTAACCTGGCACATCTACGCTTCTAAAAAAATAAAAAGAAAAAGAAAAATAAATTGTGATAAATAAAAATGAAATAATGGAAGGAAATGAATTAAAATCGGGAGGAAGAAAAAAATGAAATAAAGCGAAGGGAAAGAAAAGGCTGTCATCCAGGTCACCCTATCTTTACTGGTGCTCCAAATCATTCACTCCAAATTCTTCATTTCATCTGAATTTCATTTACATTTGCATTTCATCCTTTCTTTCCTTTTTTTTTTCTTCTTCCATATAAATATCCTCTTTTTTCCCTTCCCTTCTTCCACTACTTCCTTCTCTCCGTTTTCGATCTCACCTTCTCGCCTTCGCAACCGAGAGAGACTGGGCCTGAAGAAGGGGAGTAGGCCGTCGATTCCTTCACTTTGCTCTCCGATTTTCCTTCCTCTTTCTTGTTTCTTTAGGTATGTTCTCCTTTCGATCTGCTTTTGTTTAGATCTCTTACTCTGCTTTTTATTCGAGATTTGGATTTGCTTTAGCTGCCATTTCTGTTTTTTTTTTTTCAATCACTGTTATGAGCTTCGATCTGGTTTGATTTTTGTCTGTTTTTACCAATGCCTGCCTTGATTTGTGTTGATCAGTACAACTTTTAGCTTCTAGCTCGTGGATTGTATCTTTGTTTAGTGCTTGTTTAGTTCGTTCGTTGTTCTAAGATTTTTTATGCGATTTGTAAATCGGAATGCTGTTTCTTGCTGTACCTGACTCTGTTCTTTTGTTTTTATTCCGTTCTCTCTCTCTCTCTCTTTTTTTTTTTTTTTTTTTTTTTTTTTTTTTTTTTTTTTTTTTTTTTTTTTTT